CGGGCGGGCACGCTATGGAGACCAGTCTCTGATTGGCCAGAAGTCGCTGAGTGACAGAAGTTTTCACCTATTAGAGGAGCTGTTGGCACAGCCGGGCTATTTGAACTGCTGGGAGGGGTTTAATCGTCATTTTGGCTGTGATGTGTGTTAAAGCAAACAGGTGCTTTGCTTTTACCGCAAGAAAAAACGTGTTTTTTTTCCCCTCAAGGCAAGGGAAAGTTTTTGTGCAATTGTATGCAAAAGAACATTTGCTTTCGCTATTGCATTTTGCTGGAAAGCTGATGAATAAGCGATATGCTTTGGCGTATTTTAAGCTGAAACGCGAGGTAAATATTGATATGAAGAAGAGGTTCGTTTGCTTTACGGTGATGTATCTGGTTACAAAACACAGTTCTGGAAAGCTTAGACTGTCTTGCGTTTTGGGATATGTAGTCCGTGGTGCTGTGTTTTGCTTTTGCGGGTAAAAACGTTTCTTATTTTCCCGTTGTGCAGTTTCTGGATGAAGTGGGTTTGTCAACGATGCACCGTTAACTTGTTTATTACAAATAGTTTAATTGCTTTGAACACAAACTTAATGTTCGTTTTTAGAGGCGTTTGCGATTGTTTGACAGTAAATTAAAAATGTTTGGGGAACTGAAAACTGTAGCGTAAATACACACGTGTAGTCGGATATGTCTGTTATGGGCTGTTTAATGTTAAAGACCCAACAGTGTGTGTCTGTACTTCTTGATATTGTTAGTCTTAATAGGAATGTGCAGATTTTGATATTTCAGCTCGGGTCAGTTTTATACACCAAATCATCTTTTGGTTCAGTTTTTATTTTTTATGTGATACACCGGTGCTTTAAGATTACTGTTCAAAGCTCATTAAATGCTATAAAGAAAGTATTTTTGTTGTCAAATGACATTTTCAACTCTGGATATAATAATACTGACCCACAAAAAATACCCAATGACTTTTTAATAGAAAATATTTGTTTACAGCATTAAATAGCAAAAGATACACACAGCTGCTCTTAAAGTAATCAATAAAACAGGTCTCATTATTTCTTTTAAAGACCGTGTTTGTGTTATCTGTGCTGGCATAATGTAAATTGTTCATTCTATAAAAACAACTGAAAGATGAAAGCAGTAGATTTTTATTTTGTGGTATTTGTAAATCCTTTCATTGTTAAAAAGAAAAACATTTCTACAGAGGCAGCTACATGACGCCCTCTCAAAACAACAACAGATTTTGCTGATACACATGAACATGAGCGAGAGTCAGAGAGAGTGTAGCTGAGACAGAGGGACTGTTCTCAGTTCTGTTTCTCTGTCTTGAGTCACTTTCACTCCACAGCTTTTCCCTGGAAACTGAGTCCTGTCAGGTTTGTTTTACAGGCTGATCTTCTAAATCAACACCCAGACTGTAGATGTGTGCTGTTTCTTCTTACTTCAGGGGGAGATCTGATCATTTAAAATCCATTGGGGTGTATTTGCTAATAAGGTTGCTTCATTCAGAACCAGCGTTTTCTGTACATCAGGTGGAGTTTTGCACGAATGTTGGTTATTTTGAGAGACGTCGGTGTGAAATGGCGAATGTGAAGTGACCGGGGCAGGTTGGGGTTCTAGTGATGGATGGGGGTGCACCTGCAGGTGGGGGGTTGGTGAGGACTGTGGGGGGGTCTGGCTGGGGCTGTGTCTGTGGGCTCATGTGTTCACCTTTGGGGACAGGTGTCTCAGAAGGGCCTTCCAGCAGGTTCTCAGGAAGCTCTTCAGGAAAAGAGCTGGCAGAGGTCTGAAGTGGATCTCACCCCTGACTGGTCTGCTCCCAGTCCTGGCCTGGACTCTGGGATTCGCTGTGGGAGGTGAGTCTTGGATCAGGACTCGAACGCTGGGAGTGGAGGGGGGCTGTTTCTCAGCTTCCTGGTGTGAGTTGAGCACGAGCCTCCATTGAGAACCTCAAGGCCATCGTCTTCACAGCAGGAGGAAGAGCCGGGTTCGAGGAGCTGGCTTGTAACGGATCCTGCACTGCAGGGCTGCAGGGAGCTGCAGGACCCCAGAGAGGACAGGGCGTCCCCATAGAGGGCGAGACCACCGTCTACTCTGACCTCAGGACAAGTCTTCTGCAGGGGGCAGCACAGCTCAGACTGACCCAGTGTTCCCTGTAATAGGAGATTACTGGCTGTTCACTGCGCTGCTTATTCTGGGTGATGGACAGACACTGTGATAATGATAATGTTTCTTTATTAGCCCTATGCAATTTCTTGCATTAGGAATTCGGCTTTTCACATACCCCAGCTTTTCTCCATGAGACACAGACACACGGACAGGGAGAGAGAAGCTGGGGGTCAGAGCGCAGGGTCGGCCATTGTACAGCGCCACCTGGAGCAGTTGGGATGAAGGGTCTTGTTCAGGGGCCCAACGGAGTAGGATTCCTCTGCCGGCTGCGGGATTTGAACCTGCGGCAAACCCTTCCAGCCCCATGCGCAGATCCTGAGCAACAGAGCCACCACTCTGCCACTGTACTGAGTATTCAGTATAATCTCCACCCTGGGTATTGAATATAATAATCACTCCCTCTGTTTTCATTATGAGGGACAGTGACTGTACTGTGTGTTCACTGGAATAATCACCATACTGAGTTTTCAGTATAATAATCACTGTACTGGGTATTCAATATAGTAATTACTGAACTGTTTTCATTGAGGGACAATTGCTGTACTGGGTATTCAGTATAATAACTGAACTCCATATTCACTATGACAGTCACTATACTGGGTGTTCACTGTAATAATCTCTGCTCTGTGTATTCACTAATAGTTATTCAACTGGATATTCACTGTAATGAACACTGCACTGGGTATTAATAATCACTGTACTGGGTGTTCGCTGTAATCACTGCACTGAGTATTAATAATCACTGTACTAGGTATTAATAATCACTGCACTGGGTGCTCACTGTAATCACCACTGCACGGTGTATTCAGTGTGCTGTCTGTTAATCACTGTACAGATAAATCCCTGTTTTTTGGTAATAGGTGGGATCCTGAAAAGACTGCCGAACCCAGAAGAGGGAATGTAATTAGAGAGGAGGGACAGTGAGGTGAGCTGTTTGAATCACCTGTGTGAGACACTGGGGACTGTGATGCAGTGAGACACTGGACTATGTGAAGGCTGTTGGGGGCTGTGGTGAGACACTGGGGACTGTAGGGGCTGTCAGGGACTGTGGTGCAGTGAGACACTGGACTCTGTAGGTGCTGTGGTGCAGTGAGACACTGGGAGGAAGAGCTCAGCGTTGTCCCCATGCAGGTACTTCTCACTCCTCCCTGATTCACAGGACAACAGCGGGGAGCTCAGAGAGCAGGTGGAGTCAGAAACTCCTGCTGGTGCACCTGACTCAATATTCTGTACAAACCAGGCAAAGAAATGACATGGAGCCCTTCTCTTGGATATTAACTGTGCTATTTAGTTGGTAAACTGTTTTTTTCCTCGATGAGTTATTTTGTGATGTGTTTGCGGTTTATTCAGTGGAATTGTACTCCCTTACAGTTCATTGAATTGCTTTACTACATATTCACTGTGCTGGGTATTCACTATAATGGTTCATCACTTCTGCAGTCTCTTTCCTGAAAATTTACTGGAAATGCACTGTACTATAGATTTTCACTGTAATGTTTAATCACTCAACTAGTCAGTTTTGTTCCTGAATAATTACTGACTTGACTCTACTGGGTGTTCACCATAATTGTTCAACACTAAGCCAGTGTTTGTCTTGAATGGTTACTGTACAAGTCTGCTGTAATTGCTAGTCAATCTTTGTCCTGACAGTCTTTTTTTACTGGATATTCAGTGTACTAGATGTTTATTGTAATTGTTAATTACTAAGTTAATGATTCTTGATGAGAGCAGGAGGTGTTGGGGTATCTGCCAGGGGAGAGCAGTAGGAATTGGGGGTACCAGCTGGCTGAGAGAAAGTGGGGGTGTCAGGCTACAGAATTATTTGTGGAACCCTGAAGAGGAAAATGTCAAGTCAAGAGGGAGGACAGACACCCCGACATCGGAGCCCTCTCCCGGTCGGACACCAGGAGCCCTGACGCCCACATCCTCCCCCATCGGCTCCATCTCTCCGGTCGTGTCGTCTGGACATCGGACTCCAGGATCTCAGGGAAGGTTCCCTCCTCCCAGCCCGGCTCAGGCCTGAGGAGTCTGGAAGATCTGGGAGAAGCCAACGGGGAGAAACTCCTCCTGGACCTCAACTCTGGGAGGAGCCCAGCGCCTGGACCCCCCGAAGACTCAGGTTGACCAGGAAGAGCCCAGAGGTGTCAGAATGAGGAGGAGCCCAGTGGTGCCACAACAATGAAGAGGAGCCCAGGGGTGTCAGAACCCCTGAACGAGGTGAGGAAGGGGGAGAGAGAGCCTGTGGACAACACGCTTGTCTTTCCAGGACGGGTCACCAGAACAGCAGCTCTGGACCAGAGCAGTCGGGACTTGGTGGAGCACAGGCTGCCTTCAGGCATGTTTATTCCCACCAGAGGCAGCTCCTGCAGGAAGAACTCAACCCCAGAAAGGCAGGGAGAGGTCAGGGAGGCTGTGGGACAGGTGGGGAGGGACTGGGAATGTGGGAGCTGCCCCCTGTGTTAGGAAACGGGATCAGGCAGCCAGGGGTGAAGTGGGGCAACACTGTACCAGGCTGGAGAGGGCGCGCCCAGACGTGCAGTTAGAGGACAAGGGGACGGGGGACCCCCCCCCCATCAGCCAGGCAGGTAAGTGCAGAACAGGTGAGTCTCTCCTTCACTGGATTTCCCTCGCAGGTGATGCTGGTCTTCATCTCGAGCTGTGTACCTCGGTTCTGACGGTTCTGTCTGCTTCAGGGTCTTCCTCCTGATCTCCATGACCGCAGCGCAGGTCTTCCCAGCGGCTGTGTGCTGTCAGATCTTCCCGCGGTCGTCACTGGGAGGAGACCCTCCCTGGAGTTAGAGCATCGCTAATGTCACCTGGATGTGTCAGGTGTGGGACGTATCGGAGTCCCTTTCACTGGGGGGACAGGACACAAACCGGGGGACTTTCAGTGTCCCTTCTGTCCACATCCAGAGCACACAGGAGCTGTTTCCTTGCTTTCAGGGCCACTGCGATCTGCAGAGAGCTGCCCTTCTCCTCTACACTCTACAGAGAGGGTTACCGAGCCCGGGAGCTGTCCAGGTCTGAGGTCAGTGGGCACGTCGGTTCACAACAAGTATGGATGGAGAGATCGGACATAGGTTGGACTCTTCATGCTGAATTATTTTCCTTAATTCTCCAGGATGTCCAGAGATGAACTATAGGAAGACTGGTACTGGGGAGTTGGAATGGAAGTGGGATACTCTCTTGTCCCATGTTTTCCCAAGATGTCCAGAGGCTGCCAGTGAAGAGCCAGGTATGGATGGGAAGATAAATTGGGAGTTAGGTGCTTCCTCCCATCCCTTTTCCTAGTTTTCCAGGATGTTGGTATTGACATTGGACTGTGTTTTCCTACATTTTCCAGGCTGACCAGAGGCGGCCAGTGGGAAGACCGATATGGCTGGGAGTTGGGATGGAGGCGAGTCTCTCCTTCACTGGCTGTCCCTCCCAGGCGACGCTGGTCTTACATGATCGGGGCTGATCGGACCAGTCTGGGATCCACAGACTCCGAGGGGACAGAGTAGGAGTTGTCTTGGGGAGACATCCAGGGTGTCCTGATCTCTGCCTGCTGGAACCTGTGAGGATGACGATGATGAAGAGCTGCAGGTGACCCTGATTCAGGCTGCTCCCTGGAGATGAGCTCCAGGCGGAGAGCCAGTGGACTCCTCCTATCGGGGCTCCAGGGGGTGACCCTCAGGGCTGTGTCCTGACCTCCTGCTGTCTCTCGCCCCCAAGAACCTGGTCAGTGTGCTGTTGACACTCTCGTACCCGAGTCCAACACCAGCCTCCAGCCTGAGCCCAAGGTCAGGTTATTCCTGTCACTCCTGTGTCACACTCAGGGCATGAACACACAACCCTACTAGTGAGAGAGGAGAACTTATAAAGTTACTAGCATTGATTATTAGAGCCTGGTGAAGTATTATTGTTGAATTAACACAATCTTGAGTGACAGGTGAATGCTGGGCTGAACACCGATGACGAGGCACAGAGAGACTGCAGAGCCAGACTGCTGCCCTCGGACACACGGACCAGCTGTCACAGCTGTGCAGCCTACAGCAGCGTGTCCTGGGATGGAGGTGGGATGCTCTCTCCTGTCTCTTTCCCCTTTTCCAATAAGTCCGGCGGCTGACACTGGGAAGACATGTACGTATGAAGATTGAACCCTCTCCTGTTTCCTTTTCCCTAATTTTCCAGGATGTCCAGGGGCAGACAGTGGAGAGACAAGTATGGCTGGGATAGAGGTTGGATGTTCTCTCCTATAATCTTTTCCCTGATTTTTTTTTTTTAGGATGTCCATAAAATTGACAGTGGGAAGACGGGTTTGGAGGAGTAGTTGGAATTGAGGTTAACTCTCTCTCCTGTCTCTTTTCCCTAATTTTCCAGGATGTCCAGAGACTGCCAGTGGGAACACCAGTGTGGATGAGGTGTTGGGATGGAGGTTGATGCTCTGTCCTGTGTTCATTTCTGTAGTTTTCCCAAAATGTCCAGTGGGAAGACGACGGACTGTCCAGTGGCAGACAGTGGGAAGATGGGTAAGGATGAGGAGTTGGAATGGAGGTTGGATGCTCACTCCTCGCTTTTCCCTAATTTTCCAGAGGCTTCCAGTGGGACGATTGGTATGGATGAGTTGTTGGGATTGTCATTGGACTGTGTTTTCCTTAATTTTCCAGGTTGTCCAGAGACTGCCAGTGGGAAGACGGGTATGGCTGGGAGTTGGGATGGAGGTGAGGAGCTCTTTCCTGTCTCTTTCTTCCTCCATGTGTCGGTCTCTGTGACGTCTCTCTGCCCGTCTCCTAAACTGTGTGTCTTTCTCTCAGTCCAGCTGCTTGTGCTCTGTAAAACACTACACTTCTGCAGTATTAAACAGGGCTTTTTGACTGTGGATTGCAGGTTCGATTCCAGAGGGGGACACAGTCATGTACCCCATAGTGAGGTTCTTTGCTCAGATAGACTTTTCTGAGATAATGGTTATCCGTGGCTGTACTGTAGGGAGTGGAGTGTTGACAATGGTGTACTCAATTCTCAAGAGGATTGTACCTTAATACACTGACACATCTGTCTGCTGAACTTCGGTACTCAATGATACACCAGTGTGCTGAATTCTTTCCTATATTATAATTTAATACCCTCACCTGTGTGTTGTACTCTCATCTCCACTAAGTATTAATACAAAATAATACTGGAACTACTCAAATGTTTACTAAACTCTCTCCTGTACTTAGCTTTAATTCTCAATGACAGACCTGTGCGCTGAGCTATCCTGCGGACTGTACTGTAATACTTAAACCAGTCAGTGTGCTGAACTCTTACTTGTACTGAGCGTTAATTCTCATATTGACATATGAGTAACTCTCACCTTCACTGTGCTTTCATATTCAAAAGTGTGTACTGACCCCTCATGTGGACTGTACTATCATACTTCAACCAGTGTAACCAGTCTGCTAAACTCTAACTTGTAAGTGGGCTTTAATACTCAAACTCTGTGGACTGCACTAAAATACTTAAACCACTGTGCTGATCCCTAACTTGTAAGTGAGCTTTAATATTCAGTGACACACCAGTTTGCTGGACTTGAACCTGCAGTGTTCTTTAAATCTCACATCCGTGTGCTACACTCTTACCTTGACTGAGTTCTAATACTCGATGACACACCTGTGTGCTTTACTCTCTCGTGTTTTAAATTTTATTAATTCTCGGATCTGTGTGGTCAGCTCTGGACTAAAAAAAACTTAAACCAGTGCTTTTTCCTGTGCTTCAATACCGATACTTGTGTGCTCATCTCTCACTTGCAGTGTACTCAACATAACGGGTACTGTTTTCAGTGTTTTTAATACTGAAACCTCTGTTATGAACTCTCATCTCCACTGAGCTGTAATGCATGGTAATACTTAAACCTGTAAACTTAACTCTTACGTTTACTGTACTTTAATACTTCAATCTGTGTCATCAGGTCTCGCCTGGACTGTACTGAAATACTTAAACCAGGAAGGTGAGCTTGTACTGAGCTTTAATCAGTAAAAATCTGTGTGCTACAGTCTTCCCTTTACTGTGTTTAATACTCAATGACCTGTGTGCTTTGCTCTCACTTTTTAAAATGTTTTTAATTCTCAGATGGGCGTGGTCAGCTCTCACCTGGACTGTACTAAACTACTTTAAACCAGTGTGCTGAACCCTGGCTTGTACTGAACTTTTAATACTCAGTGATGCAACAGTTTGTCGAACCCTCACATGCAGTATCTTTTAATACTCGCATTTTTGTGCTAAACTGTCAGCTGTACTATTAGAATACTCAGCCCTGTGTGATGAACTGTGACCTGTACTGTTGTAATACTCGGGTATGTGAACTCCAGTTCTGACTGGTACTATGGTGCAGTGCTCAGACTTGTGTACTGAACTCTCACTAGTACTGAGCTTTAATCCTCACTAACACACCAGTACGCTGAAGATTCATCTGTAGTGTACTTAAATACTCAAATCTGTGTGCTACACTCACCTTTTACTATTTTTAATACTCAAACCTGTGCAGTCGGCTCTCACCTAGACTCTACTGAAATGGTAAACTAGTGTGCTGAACTCTGGCTGAACTTTCGTTCTCAGTCTCACAACTGTTTCGTGAACCTTCACATGCAGTGTGTTTTAATATTCACATCTGTGTCCTTAACTGTGAACTGTACTAGTAGAATACTCACTCCTCTGTGATGAACTGTAACCTTGACTGTGTTGCACTACTCAGAACACTACTCAGACACAAGTGTGTCCTTAAGTCTTGACTGTAATGAGTGGTGATACTCTAACTTGTAAACTGAACTCTTACCTTTCCTGTTCTTTAATGCTTAATTCAGTGTGGTGAGCTCTAACCTAGACTGTACTAAACTACTTCAACCAGTCCTGAACTCCAGCTTGTACTGGACTTTAGCAGTCAGTGACACAACCCTTTGTTGAACCTTGATCTGCAGTGCGTATTAATACCTGAATCTGTGGGCTGATCTCTGAACTGTAATATTATATGGTTTATAGTCTAACGTTCAGTCCTGTGTGCTGTTGTAATACTGAGATTTGGTGTTGAAATGTCACCTGTACTGTTCTGTATTACTCAACCCTGTGTACTGTACTGTTCTAATAGATGGACTGCTGTACTAAACAGTCATTTGAATGATGTTGTAACACTCAGCCCTCTGTCCTGTATTTCAGTGTAAGACTCAGACTTGTGTCCCTATCTGACACCTGTACTCTATTGTAATACTGAGAACTGTGTACTGTACTGTACTATTGTAATACATGGTCTGCTGTACTGAATTATCACTTGTACTATGTTGTAAGAATCACCCCCTGTCCTGTATTTCAGTGTAATATTCATGCCAGTGTACTATACTGTCACCTGCATTGTGGTGTAATACTCAGCCCTCTGTATTGTTGTAATACGTGTACTGAACTATCAGTTGTATAATGTTGTAATACACAGCCTTCTGTTCTGTGTTTCAGTGTAAGACTCACCTGTTACTTGTACTCTGTATTGTAATACTCAACCCTGTCTACTGTGGTATGAACTGTTACCTGTGTTGTAATAGGCAGAACTGTGCACTGAAATATAGGGACTGCTGTACTGAACTGTCACTTGTACAATATTGTAACACTCCGCCCTCTATCCTGTTTCTGTGTATGATGCAGACTGGTGTCCTAATCTGCCATCTGTACTCTATTGTAATATTCTGACCTGTGTATTGTCACCTTGATTGTGCTGTAGTACTCAGCCCTCTGTACTGTTGTAATATATGGCCTATTCTACAGTCACTTATACTATGTAGTAACACTCACCCCTCTGTACTGTATTTGAGTCTTGCATGGATGTTTGTGATGTCACCTGTACTTAACTGTAATACTCCGCCCTATATCCTCTACTCTACTGTGAATTGCTACATCCAGTGTGGTGTAATAGTCTGACCCGTGTACGGTGCTGGAGTGGAAGAGTCAGATGTGTGAAAAACTGCCACCTGTACTCTATTGTAATACTCAAACTTGTGTACAGAGCTGTCACTTGTAGTGTTATAACATTTCTTCTGTACTGTAGTTTAGTGTAATAGTCAGACCTGTGTACTGTAGTGTGAACATGCAAGGATCTGTTGTGATCTTCAACCGTGAACTCTCACTAGTATTGTGCTGTAATGGACAAATTGCACTACCTTCACAACTCTTGCATTTTAGTTTTTCTTCTATCTATGCTGAATGTTTATCTGGGTTGTGCTATAGCACACCAAGTCATCATTCCCTGAATTACAGGTCTAAGGTTTCTGTTAGCTTTTTGCATCCCCTCCATGTCAATTTTTGGATGTACCTCTGCCCCAGGAGTGAGCTGTCTAAAGCAATAGCTCTGATGTTGCAACTGTGGCAAGTGTCCATCACAAACTGTACAAACACACCAGGAATAGGGCTGGAGCAGACTGTCCTTTGAGTAAAGGTGGTAGGGGGAGGACCGTGGAAAATATCAACCCACCTGCTACCCATGTCCACCAGGTCTTACCTGTTTAAGAGTAAAGAGGTAAGCGCTGTTGGCCATGATCCAAACCAACAGCTGGGAAAGGAGGGCGAGTCTGGTGCTATACTGAGGCTGGAGTCTACTGCCACTCGTGTCAGCGTAATGGGCGATCAGCTCTGCTTGATTTCTAAGACCCTGCAGGTTTTACCCTTTTCACCCTCGTCAGTGTCATGGTCCCATTTCCAAAGGGCTGGGTCATGCTTCTCGGGAAGGAGAGTTGCCTGAGGTGGGGGGGTTCCTTTTCAAACTAATGCACCTTTCTGCCATCGTGCAGGCATCTGCTCCAGGCGGGCCTCGTCTTACACTGAGAGATACCGGGCGGGGGGGGGTCAGTGTTAGTGGGTGTAAAATGGGCCATGGATGGAGTAGTGCAATCTCAACCCTGTTCCACCCTCGCTGGGACTGCTGCAGGGTGTCAGGAACTACATTTCCCAGCAGGCCCTGAGGAGGATGGTGGCCAACAGACTCCCTCCCCTGGGTTGATAAGATGCAGGTGTTGCCAATTCCAACCTGCAGCCAGTTTGAATTCCTGCAGAGGGCTGCAGCCTGGAGGTACAAGTTCATGTATCCGGTGTAGGTTTGTTGGGGGGAAGGGAATGTTTTAAGCGCAGGCAAGCTGCAAGAGGTTGTGAAGAAGGGATATATATTTATCAACAAGCTGGGTTATTTTCAATACAACGAAGCTCTGCTAGCTCAGAACCTGTTTTTTTAACTAGGCTATAACTTTTCTCAACTCACTCTCCACAACTGCTGTCAGTATTTTGCTTCTTCTCCAACACTCCAGCTCACAGCTGGGCTCAACGATCATCCTTGCCACAACTGCATTACCCAGACTGCAGTGTAGCTTTCGGTCAGCTGACCAGTTGGAGAAACGTGATTGGTCAGGGGAGGTTTGAAAAGCAGGAAGTGGAGTCCCCCAGTGTTGCTGCAGCCAGAGCAGCGAGTGGAGTGAAGGAGCTGCTGGAGAAGAAAGACCAGTTCACAGCTCTGTCTGTGTCCTTCACAGCACAACCCCCTGCTCTCCTATAGTCAGGGCAAGAGTTTCATCTCTCTCACTTTAACAGAGCTC